GTGCTAGTTTGCCCATGGTAAGTTGCTCATTTCGGTCAGCACTGCCGACCACAAGGCGATCGCAGGGAACACAACCTACAAAAACGAAACAAGAGGTTGGAGGAAGCCAAGATTTTGTTTCTGAAGGTTGGTATGCTTGGGACTTGAAAACCCAAGAGCGTTTTAATTTTATACTGCAAATATGGAAGAGTTTAGTGTGACATAGTAAATTCTTCAAGCGCTGCCTGGTAATGTTACTCTAAATAGCCTGCAATCCCACTGGTCGGAGCAGAGAGTTACTCCTTCCAGGTGCATGCCTGTATAAAAACCTCTGGAGCGTGCATCTGCCCAGAGGAAGCTTCCCACGCCCTCTGTCACAGCAGGTACCTACACAGCTGTCTACCTAACCTTGTCTGATGTGCATTTGTGTTCTCTTCTAACTAACAAAGGAAATACGCTTGTCCGAATTCTTGTATTTCAGGTCAGCCAAGCTAGCTGATGAAATCCAGCTTAACCTAACCCCTACTACTTCGCGAGGAGTTACTATCGTTGCTGGTTTTCAGTATTTGGATTCATTTACCTGTGGACTCAAATATCATATAGGTTTATTATAGTGATGTTCCTAGTGCTGACATTTCCTTTATTTCCTAGCATTTATATTCATCTTTTTATAATTTTTTTATTTAGTGCCTGAGAACATGAGAAAATTGCACGAGCTCTAAGAAATGTGGATGTTTGCATACAGTATGAGAGTATGGCTAAGCCCTATCTCACAGAGAATACACTGCAATTGCATTTCCCATGTGAGCAAACTGGCTTTTGCCCAAATAATTCAGGCTAAAGCAGACTATGCTGTGTAACTGTGCAGAGGTGAGAGAAACACATTTCAGCAGAGTTGTGTTTACAGCTGAAGACCCAGTGACACAGTACTGCTCACTAACCTACTTGTCTTTTGGCCATGTTGCTACATTTGAAAAGGTCTTTCCAAGCAATGGATTTTGTAAGTTTAAGAGGCACAAAGTTTGCTCTTTTAGGGGATAAAAAGTTACCTTACCGTTTTTCGTCGTCTCACAATTTGCCCTTCAGTGTTTAATTACCCTGCTAACTTTATGTGACATTGTCAAATAGATATAATTTTATGAATTATTCTTTCTTCCTTCCTTAGGTTTGGAAGAAATAAAATGTGATTTTGAAGGTTGTTTGGTTCACAACAGTTTAAGACTGTTAATAAAGTCAGCGGGGGTTTTAAAACTTTGGAAAGCACAGAATTTAGATGATGATTTCCCTTTAGGATCATTCTGCAAAAATATCAGCTGCTAACATCCAAAAAGAGGCAACATTTCCTAAGGGAACAGATTTTGGTTTCAGTATTACTATATTAAATCAAAATATGTTTAGACATATACCAACCATTTTCAGTGAAACATGGATCAGAAAAATGCCAAAATTGTAGGAAGTGTCAGTATTTACAATTCTAGAAGCACAGCAGCAACTTGGCCATATTACACGTAGGGTACATAATAATGCAAACACCACCTATTCACAAATAGCTTACTCAATGCTCACCTGTATCTGTAGTCTTCATTTTAAAATGATAAAATAAAGCTGTGCATCTTTAAGGCCAAGATGCTAACATACCTGAATTCTTGAAATTGTAAGACTAAATCTGTTCTGTAGTTTGCAGCTAAAAAAATGCCTTACTTTTTACTCCAGTTTATATAATGTCATTAATAGCTACTGGAGTAGGCTATATATGCATATACATATATATGTTTATGCATATACATATATATATATGCATAAACAAAACCCAACAACACCTTTCTACTTTGCAAGTAGAAATTGTAGTATCTAGAAGCCCCGGGATAAACCAGAGCCCAGTGTGTTATGTTACATACAAATGCGAAGCACATAATCTTTATCCCCTCAGTTTTCCATCTAAGAACTCCGGCAGCTGATGGACTAAAGGACCACATCAGTCTCACCCCAGTATGACTGTAACCACGAGGTATCTTTTAGACCTCCTGATCATTTTAAGAAGGGATTTGATAAAAATGACAAAGCACCTTTATAAATATTTAAGCAGACACCTCTTTTAGAGGAGCTCAAAGGACAAAGCATGAGAAAGTACAGCAATTTTCATTTTGAAAATATAATGTAACATGTCTAATCTCATTTAGAATTCAGTCTTTACTGAATGAGTGATAATAGATAATAATCTCATGACCAGAGATGCAATTGTATTTACTGCAAGTACTTAACAATGGATCAACAAATATATATTTACTAAGCTTGTTTCCAAGTTATTTTGTGGTATTTGCTACTATGCAAAACCAACTAAAATTTTGACCTGTTGCAGTAAGAACTTACCTGAGCAAAGAAAAAAAATACAGAAGGATCACTTTCTACTCAACAGTTTACTCATTAAACAAACCTTTCTGTTTTTTACATAAAAGGGTATTGGACAATGCAAAGTTTCCCCCTCTCTTGTAATTTCAGGATTGGCCTTTCACAGTAGTACAGATTTCATGCTACAAGAGCCATACCTCCGCCCCCTCCCCCCACCAAAAAAAAACCACCAACCAAAGCCAAGCAACCAAAACCAAGCTTTGAATATGTAGTGCTTTGCTTGTTTAAACATGAAATGTTCAGAAGACTGTGTCTTCAAATAAGTGTTTTCTGGATGTAACCATCACCAGTTCTGACATTCCCTTTCCATTACACACCTTGCAAATTACGCAAGTCTTAATGTATTTTCCTAGAAATTTCTTAAAACATTAAAACATGACCAGATTTTATTCTGCTCAAGATATGAAAGAGGCATTGCTGAAAAGTTGAAGTAAACCTTTGGTTACATGAGACTGCATAGAAACCATTGCTGTCGCAAGGAGGCACACTTCAAGTGCAAAACATGAATAAAAATACCTTCACTCATATGCCAGAGAATGCTGTAACTGGAGTACTATCGTCAGTAAGCCTCTACAATAATCATATCTTGAATTATACACAAAAGGTGCATAGCCAGAACCTGTTACTAGCTAGATGGGGGCCCTCTGAGGAAAAAAAAATAAAATGCACAAATCAGTTTACTTAAAGCACTATCTTTTCTGAAACAGTACAAAATCACTGCCACGGCTGAACAAATGCAGTCAGAACAAAAATCTTGTCCTTGTGAATAAACAGAGTAGCAATAAGGAATATAAGAGGTATCAGTAAAACTGCAATGGTGTCAATATCATGTGTGCAAACAAACCATACACACAAGTCAGCAGTCACTCTGCTCCTTAAAAAAACTACCTGCTGAAGTTCCTGCTACTGCCAAGTCTCTCCCCCTTCTGGCCAGCATACCTAGAACAGCCTCCGGTGGTATGATGCAACACGTTGCAGTGCATACAGCTTCAGAGAGCAAACAAACATGTATTCTCAAGAACCAACAGAATAAGGCCAATTATGGATAAAAATGTAACACACTCCAGCCACCACGATATGTGGGAAGAGTGAACTTGTACAGTCTCTGACCAGAGCAAGCTATGAACCTTTTTATTTTCTCTTTATACAGACACGTGTGTGTGTGTATATATATATATACACACGCACACACACACACACGAGGACGCATATACATAGGTGCTATCACTGAAGAAAATTCTAGTTAAGCAAAAAGTTTCACTGGCATATTTCTCCCCAGGCAAATTTAGATACAGTCCTACCCCTGTTAGCTGGTATCAAGCAGTTCCTTTTTATGTTGGGTGCTGCTCTGTACATTGATGTCGTGGTTTAAACCCAGCTGGCCATTAGCACCACACAGCCGCTTGATCACTCCGTCCCCCGCAGCAGGATGGGGGAGGAGAATTGGAAGGGTAAAAGTGAGAAAACTCATGGGATGAGGTAAGAACGGTTTAATAACTGAAATAATAATAACAATAAATAATAATAATAATAATGCAAAGAAGAAAAAAATCCAAGAAAGACAAGTGATGCAGATGAAAACAACTGCTCATCACCAACTTATCGATGCCCAGCCAGTTCATGAGCAGCAGACCCCCTGCCAATCTTCCCCCTAGTTTTTTTGCTGAGCATGAATGACATCATATGGTATGGAATAGCCCTTTGGTCAGTTGGGGTCAGCTGTCCCAGCTGTGTCCCCTCCCAAATTCTGGTGCACTCCCAGCCCACTTGCTGGTGGGGTGGTGTGAGAAGCAGAAAAAGCCTTGACTCTGTGTAAGCACTGCTCAGCAATAACTAAAACATCCCTGTGTTATCAACACTGTTTCCAGCACAAATCCAAAACACAGCCACATACCAGCTACTATGAAGAAAATTAACTCCAGCCCAGCCCAAACCAGCACAACTGAAGATGCACAGTCATTCATAAAACATGCGTCCTCCAAAAAAGCCTACCAATTCGAACTTCTCATTGCAATTGTTTCCTGACTGCAATGTGCATACTCTGCAGTTCACTACATTTCAGGGTGATCCAAATAGCTGTTCTGCAGAAAAAGGCAGAAAAGAGAAGGCAAATGTATACAAAGAGACAAAATCAAGAGCACTTACCACAGCAAATTAACCAGTTTTATTGCAGGAATTACAAATCCAGAGTTCTTTGGGAAACAGTAAATTACAGAGATAAAAGTCATAGATATTAAGACAGTTCATCCTTCTCAGCTGTTACTTCAACTGATAGGACGACCATGCAAGTAGCTCACTGTTCTGACTGATCAATTCAGTGATATAATGCTAAAATTTTGCACAAGTGATAAACATGATAAAATAATAAATATTATAAACATGATAAAAATCTCTGATAGTATTACTGTGTTACCAGAAAGTGCTTGCAACAATGTCCAGTGGAGTGGGGATGTCACCTCTCATCATGGCTTCTTGGCCCTTCAACCCATCATTGAAAAATCCCCAAAACCAAAGTCCACCCAACCTACTCGCTTTTTCCAGTGTTTTCTAATACAGAGTGCCTGCAAGCTTTTACAACATTATTTTTCCCTTTTCATATCAGCTCTTTTGCCATGATCTCTGCACAGCAGCCACCGTTCCTGAACAAAATTCAGAGTGTAATGGACTGCCAAACCAAGGAAGAAGAAACCTGTGAAGAGCAAGATGACTACGAAAACTGCACTTGCAGCTCCAAGCGTGCATCATCAACAGCAGAATCTGACTCAGGTTTAATCCAATTTAAATACAGCAGTTGCTATGGCATGCTAGCATTTCATACTTTAACTTTTCTTAGTATTCAAATAATAGATGTCACCTTGTCACTTTTCCTTTTTATCTCTATTTTTTGCCCCATCATTTCCCCTTATGTATGTATTTATTATCAGATCAAATCTACAAAAAAAAAAGACTATCTCCATAATTAAGAAGTATGTTTAAAAGTGTCTCTGGATTTTATTTGGATATCTAAGAATTATTTCTCAATTACCATCAGAGATATGATTATAATATGAATTAATTGGGCTGGCACTGTTTAAGCTGTGGTATTACAAATTTCTACAGGCTAACCTGCTCAAACACCTACCAAGGACTCCAGACAGGCATCAGTTAAAATCCATGCAAGCCAGAGCAGTGTTTTTCTTTGCAGTTAATTTTTTATCATCTATGCACACCCTGCTAACAGGCTTCTAACAACAGCATGGTCATTCTGAACAGTGTCTTTGTTTTCCGTGAGATCATATGGAGCAGTTCAGCAGAGCTCTCCTGAAAAATCTAACTTATGATGAGACATGTTAGAACAACTGTAGTACTGACATTTGCTGAACTGCATCATGTATGTCAACAAAGTGTATCTCACAACCCCTCCTTTTGTGGAAAAATGGGTAAAAAATAACCACTAAAAAGAGTTAGGTTTTCTTCAGTGTAAGAGGTAAATCCTAAATCCTTCTTTTGTAAAAAAGAAGCTTAATGTTCTAATCTGTTGGCCCCACAAATGATAATTACAGCATACACCCGTACATGGCATACTCTTGCATAGTATGAACTATGGCATACCCCAAAATACAAGCTAACTCCTGAAATTCTTCTAGTTGTTATTAGCAGAGATATATATTTGAATTAGTAGATTTTTCCAAAAGGCTTATTTCTATCTGTAAATTGCCCATGCAAACACTGAGAATGCCAGGAAATGGCATTCTCCCTGGCCAGCTAGACCGTCCACTTCTGTACAGTCTCAAGGCCAACAGCCTGACAGCTTTCCTAGTCCATGTCCCTACATACTATTTTTGAAAAATACTTTTTACCTTTTAACAAGTTGCATATAAACACCTGCATATAAAAAAAACCCCCAAATTTTGTCTTTTCTCTCATAGATTCACCAGTAATTCTTAAAATACTACAGAACTGGGTTCCTAGAGTTTCACACTACTTTGATAAAGAGCACTACATGTACGTGGGCCACCAGATTGTCATTCAGGAGTCCATAGAACACTTTGGAGCCGTGGTGTGGCCAGGGGTAAGTACGTACTATGGCACCCAAAAAGCCGACATGACAGAAGAGTAAACCATGACAGTGGCACACGAATATTAAGGAAGCTTTCTAAGATTACACTTCTTACAGAGGAGGTTTCCCTATGCAGAACAAAGTTGTGAAGTACTTTAGCAGAAAGCTCTGCCTTAGACTAATTTGCCAGTTCACACTAAAAGAACCGTGGCACTGAAGTATTTGTAAATTAGATGCAGATACAAAAAAAAAAAAAAAAGAAAGCGAACTTGGGAAGAAGTTTTCAGCTTCCTCCATGTTTCCAGTCACTGCTGAGAAGTAAATAACCAGCAGTACAAAAAGGAGGCTGAAAAAGAAAATTGTGAGATTAAATAAAGGAGATTAAACCAATTAAATCTGCTTATTTTAAAGAACAGGCTGTAACAGTTCCATTGCAGTACAGAAAAACGTACTTGCAAACAGTTCTTCAGTCTTTGCTTCTTCTGCTCTTAAAAACAGAATCTATGTGGACTGAGAAAACTACCTTTGAGGGAGGAGAGGGTCAACTGATAAAGAAATGAAAATTAGGATTTCAAAATTTTTCAGATCCACATTTATTGAAAAAGGTCACAGAAAATGGCAGACAATTTCAAAACTATAATAGAGGAAAAGAAAGTGTATGGGCGAAACAGTATCTTATTCTGAAATGTCAGATCATCAGTTCTCACGTTAATCAGGTGTCAGAATGCAGATGGGAAAACCTTCCAAGAAAATCAAGAGGTTGCACAAATTGGACTGGTGATTCGCTAGCTGTCAGCTTTCCCAGAGCAGGTAGACAGTGTTGCATTACGTAAAGCACAGGAGTTAAAACAGTAACACAACTCTAAAGAAGAAAAGCAAAAGGGGGAAGTTGTTCCTTCAGCACCTGTTTATGTTGTTGATAAACAGTTGATTTATATTCTACTGATAAGATCATGACAAAGGTCTGATAAGCAGATGGTCTTCCATACAGTGCAGTGTTTTTTTTTTTTTTTTTAAGTTTATACTATTATTCATAGACAAGTGTTGGGATGTTAAATAACAATTTTTTAATATTGCCTTTGCAGAAAAAAACCCAGAAACAAAAAACCCCCAGTTTTCAAAAAATCTCTGCTGTAGCCTGAATCTACCTTACAATAGTGATAATAAACCATAACATTTATGATAATAAACCAGAACATTACTTTTTTACATATTGTTAATCCTCTTGTTTGCTGTTCTGACTGTACGGTTCACATCTAAACACTGCCTACCTTGACCTGTCAGAGGACTCACAGTGTATAGAAGTGTGAGGCAAATCCATGTCCCATAAACCTAAAACTAAAAATAAGCTGTTTATTTTTTTTTTAACATAAAAAAACAGGACACACCATAATTCTTTCCATATTACACTTTTATGTTACAGCCTTCAGTGTTTTTCTGTTGTATAAAAAAACCACCTGTATAAAATCATCTAATTAAATTTTGTGCAACTTACCTGCTACCCGCTTACGGAAATGTGTTAACCGTTTTAGGCACTGGCTTTATCTCAATATCTGGAATCAAATCAAGAACAATTCAACCTCAAAGACAAAAAAGTTTTGGAAATTGGCGCTGGAACAGGCTTGGTTTCCATTGTGGCCTGTATCTTAGGTTAGTAAATTTGTATTTCCTTTTGGATTTCTTGTGAAAGATTATCTACATCTGCCACTGTCACTTTAAGGCAAAGAAACAACAGTTGAAGTAAACTTTGTTTGTCACTGCTTTTTTAAAAATGAAAATTCTTGTGAAATACTGTTTTGTTAATAAAGCAGCCACCCTAGTTATTGGTGAAGGGGAAGCTGGCAGTTACACAGATAAAGTTTTATATATAAATGTTCAGCTACATACCTATGAATTGACACAAAGTCATGTTTTCTTTAGGAGCTTACGTTACAGCTACCGATATGCCTGAAGTTCTTGAAAATCTCTCATATAATATTTCAAGAAATACACAAAACATGAATACGCACAAACCTGAAGTGAGAAAACTGGTATGGGGAGAAGGCCTCAATGAAGACTTTCCTGTATCAACTTACCATTATGATTTCATACTGGCAACTGATGTTGTATACCATCATACAGCTTTGGACGCCCTGCTAGCAACAATGGTGTATTTTTGTAAGCCAGGAACAGTATTACTATGGGCAAACAAATTCAGATTCAGTACAGACTATGAATTTCTGGAAAAATTTTGCAATATATTTAACACGACCATTCTAGCAGAATTTCCAGAATCAAATGTCAAGCTGCTTAAAGCCACAGCAAGAGAGAATTAATTTTGATTTAATGGTAGCACCTTACAGTTTGGAATGTTTTGCAGCATTACGGTGCACCCTCTGTCCACTTATGTTTGTATAGATGCAGTTGTATCTGAGTTTTGCATTACAAGTTATGAAAAAACTGGCAAGACAAATGATACAGCAATTTGTCTCTGGTTGATACATGTGACCAGTTGAAACAGACCAATTTCACTCCACTGAAGGAACAATGTTAGTAGCAATAGTTAGTAAAAAGGCTTTAATGGAAAGTATTGATCATCTGGGCTGCACTGAACTTCTGCTGTTTGTAAGGTGTTTTCGTTCAGCAAGTTTCATTTATATACTCTTTCAGACAACAATACAATTTTTATCTTCATTATTTGTTTTTATTAATTATAAAATAATCTTTTAAAGTATCAGAGTGCACATGGCGGTTTTTGATCTTCAACTTTGCACATTTATTCTGATGTGTTTTACATTTTTAACATTATTAAACATATATGTATAGCTTTACAATACCTCATCAAGATTTAACTGTCTGGCACTTTTATACATGTATCAGCCTGTCCTGATACTTAACCTCACATGTATTTTTGAGTTTGCCTGAAATCACTCCAAAACGAAGATTTACAAGAGCACCTATGCATCAGCAATTGCAAGTTACACACTTTAAAAGTCTGAGAGGTTGAATTTTTCTTAAAAAAAATTAAATGTAAACTCTTGCAAACAATACAGGTAATGATGTCCTGTTACTTTTGTCTAATAAATAAGATTTTAGCTACTCTTGAAGTAGCTTTAAGGCCTTCATACAACTGAAATTAAGATAAAACATGTTAAAATTCAGTTTACTGTAAAAAATACAGAGCTTTTACAGGTTTGCAGTTAAAAGTAACAGTTAAGAACCTAACATGCATGCAGTAAGCCTTTCCAGCCTAATTCCAAATTCTTGGTGTTGGCAGTTCTGGCACATCCATTGCCAGCAATGGGATGCACAATAAGGAAACTCCCTGATGCTAGGAGTTAGGTTAACAGGTATTAAGCTGTACCCAGGTGCCTTTACTGATAAATACACACAATTTCATAATCAGCATTCAGTAATGAAAGCATGCATTCCAATAAAAAGTCAAACTTATCTTTTCATATCCTGCCCCATATAAAATCACTTTAAGTTTACAATTGTCGGTTTTCTAGAATACACAATAATCAGGTGGATACATGACAGGAAGCCAATTTTCAGTGAAAGTTGCACAATGAGACCATCCAAGCAGCTTCATTAGCTGAAGAAAAAAAGCAAACATTAAAAAAATGAGAAGCTCTAGGTTCTTATTCTTTTTCAAATCTAAGTCCTTCCAACAAACACTGCATTGATATCAACATCTTACTAAAGATGTCTATTATCAGAAAGATAATAACTGGTGATCTTTGAATTACTTAGTCCTGAAAGGGGAAAAAAACAACCCTATTCTATATGATCCATAGTCTTTCAACTCAATGCACAAAAATTTTGTCGTAGGAGTTACAGTAATTCCCATTAATTCTCCACCTATATTATACTAGCAACATTTGTAATTAATAATAGTAAAAATAACAGTGGTTAAACAGCAACGTAATGGGATTTTAAATATGCAGATGATCTGTGGATAAGTTGTCTCTACTTTCTTTAGGCTCCAAAGTAAGTCCCAGAAAGTACATCTGCTAATAATTTATACACAAACTAGCTATTCTAGAAAAAGAAAGAAGAAATCACTACTCAAAGTGGAGGCCAAGCCACAAAAGCCTGGATAAAGTTAAACTATTTAGGGAGTTCTACAATGCAAAAGGCATAAAAAATTCAAAAAGACATACAGCCCATTACTTTACCAAATACATCTTACCTGAATGCAGTTTTTCAAGTTGTCCTTTGTTGGCTTCTCTTCTGCAAGTTTTGTGGCAAACTTAAGACCTCTCCCATACATTTTATTTACCAATGCATGTTTATAGGCAAAAGTCAAAACCTACAATGTGAAAACAAAACCGTATTAGATATTTTAATCTTGCAAGGCTTAACAAGTAATAGCAGATTCTGGTCAGGTAGCAGAAGTGATTTAAACAACGTAAAACATTTACACAAGATAGCTTGCATTTTTCTTTACAGTAAAACAGATGATTCACAGTAGTAGTTATAAACATGAACTTCTAGAGACTATTTCTGACTTCATGAACATATTTGACTTCAAAACATCCTACGTAACACAGATGTCAGTATTCTAATTTTTTACTCATCACATTTCTAGCTTCTTTGGATTTTCATTCTCTAGACACAACTGTATGGTACCAAAAAAAAAATTTGAAAAAAAAAAAATCAAGAACCAAGCAGGTATATTTTTGACCCACAGAAACAAAGACCCAACTGAGAGTTTTGATTCCTAGGAAGTCACAAACTTCCTGCAGAAACAAGTATGAATGTACATAGTGAATTATACCTATACACACACGCACACACACAGAGAAATGCACATAATTATAAACAAGCAATGAAGACAGGTAAGCATGAAGACAAGCCTTAGGTTTTGAGTCAGCTCCTCACTACTGGTAAATTATTAAGAAGAGATTATAAAAAAAGCTTCCTCTTGATAACACTAATTCTAAAGAGACAGCTTACAATACCTGTCAACGCTATAACTAACGTGTAAATTAATGTGTCTACTTAAGACCTAATATAAAACAAATGAGGTTCTTAACACCTGGACACTGATAGCATTCAGGGTGTTGCAAAACAGTTCATACCATTTCACCAGTTACAGCACTAACAATTAGTGCAATCAAGACATTGTTTCATATAGTCCCTTTGGAACACTCATAGTAAATAGCTTTTTTAAAAAATTGTTTACTGAAGAGTGACATTGCAGCAAAGTTGGTGGTGTTTCTGCTGTCAAAGTTTACAAAATCTCAGAGTTATCTCATATTAGAGTTTGCTATTCATTTCATCTCACTCATTACAATATTTTTCCTTTCCTCTGACTCCTCCAACAAAGGTTACATTTTCCCAGTGTCCACTTAAAATATCCCACTAAGAAAGGCTAACAAAAACACTTCAAGGATCTTCAGAAATAAGTATTCTGCATTACAGCAAAAAAATTTAAAATATTTCTTAAGAATATAAACAGTAAGGAATCCGAGATCCCAGTCTCGCAAGGATTGACAAACCTGCCTAATTTTAGCTTCCTGAACACTTCCACTGAATGTTAATCACAAACGCAAGTCTTCGCAGGATCAATACTTAAAATACTAAGCTAAAAAAGAGAAATAACAAGCTTAATTATCAAAGAAGTAAAGGTTAAATTTTGAAGCTCTAAAGTATATGCCAAGCACTAAGAGTTGCTCATTCTTCTGTCTTCAAGTACTTATTCTGTTGTGTTTAACTGTTCACTTAAGCTGTTGCAGCTTAAAACACACACATATATGCAACAATGAGCATACAGCACCATTCACATATAGATTTTCCAAATATTGCTATTGGAAAAATACTTTGCATGCTGCATTCTCAATCCAGTTATTTTGGATATTTTCCTAAAGCAAAACACATTAGCAAACACTTCTGAATAACTCAGTGGATCCATTAGCAGAAATAGTTGGTTAAACTAAACTTAAAACAAAAAAACTCCCTTCTGTAAAAGATGATAGAACCACAAAACAAAACCAAAACAAAACAAAACCAAAAAATCAAATGAAAAATGCATTGGAGCTCTCAGCAAATATAACATATTGGAGGCTAACCAGAAATAATGTCACTGCTCTATTAAGAAAGCTCTTACCTGACCCTGTAAGTTTTGAATGGTTATTGAACATCAGTGATAAAGGCAGGAGGAAAGCCACTTGACAGCATTCCTTTCGTAACAGGGCTTCCTAGAGTTTTTGTGGCAAGAAAACAAAGCATTTTACGAAACACCCTTGCTCTGGCCAAATAAAAGTTTGGGTATTTCTAAATGAGAAAAAAATTCTCTGCTGGACCAATAGGTTGAGAACAATGCTCCAAGAGCTCTTGATAAAAGACAGTAATTTCTGCCTTAGTGCTTGGGGAAAAAAAAAAAAAAAAAAAAAAAAAAACCACAACCAACCTAAAACAATCAACTGTATGCAAGTTAAGTAAAACTACTTAAAGTTCATTAGCACTTCAGAAGTTAAAAATAATTCACAAGATGTTTTAAAATTTGAATAGGTTTACAAACAAAAAAATATTAGATAAGAAATAATACTTTATAACTTGTACATATATTGGTCAATTAAACCTTATAATTAAAATATTGCAAGCTTTACAAGATCACAGAAGTGAAGACTATGATTCATTGATAATTGTAAAGAAAATGTAAACTAGAGAGCTATTAAGAGTAAAAGAGAAAACAGCTGCTATCTGAACGTATGCCAACAGCAAATAAACCAATCTGTAGTATCTAAAAGCAGTTGCTACATGAAAGAATAGGGATGAATTTAAGTATTTGATATTATCTATAAATCCAATAAATATAATTAAGGCTAGCTTTTCCAGAACAAGTAACATGGCATAGAAACTGGCTAAAGAGCAATAAACAAAAGGTAATAAGAAAAGGCAATGTGTACTTCTAAGATACTGGGGGGGGAATCACTGTTAGATACTTCATTCCCCAAGCTAATGGCCTGTAATACTAAGTGTGCTAAGAACCAGACCCACGAAAGCGGCTGGATGTCCATCTCCTAATTAGCTGCCTAACTTGCCACTGGCTACATAAAGATGCATATTTAGGACAGTAAAATGCTGAAACAATCTCTCCTAAAACATTTGCAGTATTCAAAAGCCTGAAAACACTCTTTAAAAAAGAACACTTTCTGAATTCAGTAACACTGAACTACTTAATAGAACTTTTCTAGTATCTTGTTACCTACGAAAAAGAAAACAGACTTGTATAATCAGTTACTTCATTATTAGAACAGTTGATTAAAATGTATTTACATTTACAAATTATTAAAGTACTAGATTAAGCGATGTAATCTATAGGTAACAC